ACACACACACACACACACACACACACACACACACACACACACACACACATATACACCCACCCCCCCCACTCCCCCCTGAGACCACAGGGTGTGCAAACAATGTGGGACGAGCGGCACAGGGACGAGTGAAAGTGTACTGCATGCGACACAAATCGAGCAACGGCGCCCGGCCACCATTGCAGTTGCATTGACAAACGCACCCGAAGCTTGTTGGGGTTGCCGGTGACGAAGGTGAGAACAGGCTTCTTGTCTTGATCACTGCAATTTGAACGCACGCACGCCAGGAAGGGAGGAAAGGGAACCGTACAAAGAACCGCACGGTCGTGCCATCGTACAGATGAGGTGTCGAGGGGCCGTGTGGTGAGGTGAGGGTTGCTGAAAGTTAGAAGGAAGGCAAGTTATTGGGTAGGAGTCACAACGAAGGTCACGACGATCTTGACGAGAAAAAAAAAGAAAGGGATGAGGAAGGTATACGTTGTGGGTATGGCTGGTGTGCGGCGGGAACAAGGATGAGACAGGCGGCGCACCGAGCATGCCAGCCGCCTGTGTGCCATCACCGCCCTCCCGACATGGTGTGGCACCAACTTCACGACCACACTGATTGTCAAAGATCACCACACACCACACATTAACACACCACACCATTAATGTTACTGTTACGATCACAATCGCCGTAAGCAGCACGCCAACCAGAGACAGAAAGAAGGGTGTATGGTGGTGGCGACATGAACAACACAACACCACACACACACACACACACACACGCACACACACATGCACACACACATGCACACACACACATATATGCGCATGCGTGCTCAATGTACCTCATGATGGCTGTTGGGCGCGTGGGTTGGCTCACTCGTTGATAAGCGCGTGTGGAGTGCAGGTCAGGTCGTTGTCGGAGGTTGGTTGATGCAAGGCGAAATGACGCACGCTGCGTTCTGTGCTTTGTGCTTTGTGCTTACAGAGAGTGCGTGTGTTTTTGGTGGTGTCAAGTTTGACAGGTGGTTGCGTTTGGCGTTTGGGGGGTGGAGAGGACAGCCAGCACGTTGCAGACACACAACGATGGAGCACAGAGAAGGTGGTGGTGCTAGGGTACTTGGTGGGGATGCTGGCGAGCTGGAACAGCAGTGTAGGAGGGTCATCATTCACATTGACTTGGACTGCTTCTACGCTCAGGTACACGTGTTGTTGCTGTTGTTTCGTCTGTGTGTGTGTGTGTGTGTGTGTGTGTGTGCGTGCGTGCGTGCGTGCGTGTGTGTGTGTGCCTGTCTGTCTGTCTCTACCTGTGTCTCTCTATCTCTGTCTCTGTTTGTGTCTGTGTCTGTGTGCGTATGTGTCTGTGTGTGCGTGTGTCGCCATGCGTGTCCATCTCTCTTCTGTCACTCTGTCACCTCTGTCGCGTCCATCCCTCCACCTATTTGTCTCTTCGCTTCTCCATCTCTGTTCACCTCTCAATCCCCCCCCCCCAGTCAAGCATAAATACACACGCACACACACACACACACACACACACACACACACACACACACACACACACACACACACACACACACACACACACACACAAGTCACAACTCACGCACAATCACGCACATCTGCTGCTCATGTCCCATGTGCAGGTGGAGATGGTGGCTCAGCCGGAGCTGTGCCAGAAGCCCGTGGGCATCCAGCAAAAGACCATCCTGGCCACCAGCAACTACATTGCTAGACAACGAGGGGTTGGTAAGATGGACTCCATCCGCCACGCAAAGCAAGTGTGCCCGGACATCACCATCATCAAGGGTGAGATCCTCACGCCATTTCGCCTTGCCTCGGAGGCCATCTTCACTTTGCTCAAGGCAATGCTACCTCGGGTCCCCGTGCAGCGCCTTGGCTTAGACGAGTTCTTCCTCGACATCACCGACGTTGTCACAGGCGCAACCTCTTGCACTTGCATGGTGCGTATGTGTGTGTGTGTGTGTGTGTGTGTGTGTGTGTGTGTGTGTGTGTGTGTGTGTAGACGGGTGGGTGTTCACCCCCCCCCCCCCCACAAACCTTTTCTTGTCCTCTTCTGCGCCCGAGTTTGCACTTCGCTGTGTTTCAGCTCACCTCTTTCGCTTCCTCTTGTCTACACTTTCACAGAAACTTGCGTCGACGAATACACCCGGCAGCGAGTGGACGTGCAGCTGTCCGTATGCGCAGCTGTGGAGCGGGCCTCACCCGGAACGACGGCTACAGCCAGATGACACCGATCTCTCACCGTGCACACGCCCGCTCGTTGCTGCCGCGTGTGAAGATGCTCATGGACATGTGCGCCTCGCCCAGAGCGTCGTACCGTGCCTCCCTGTACGCGGGGGCGGGCTCTCCTGGTACGGTCACGTGAAGGGGGTCGCACTGTCAAGCGGCCGATTCCGGCGCACGCCACCAGCGCCTGCAGCGAAACTGTCGAGCAGCGGCAACACTGCAAACACAAACCTATCCACAGAGGTATTGGCGGCCACAACTGCAACTACCACCACTACCACTACCACAGCTGCAACCACTTCCACCACCAGCAGCACTACGCCAACTGCACCTGCTATCACTGCCCAAGAGGAACAGCTTGGACAAGCAGACGTGCGGTTGCTTGCCATCGGAACACATGTTGCTGCTCGCCTGAGACGGCTCATCTTCATGCGTCTTGGATTTACATCGTGCGCTGGCATCGGCCACAACAAGGTTGGCCGAGCAGCGGGATGTGTCTGCAACTTCACTTAGTTGCATGAGTTGAATGTGTCCGCGTGGGTGCGTGTAGGTTTCCGATAACTCTCATCTTTCTTGATGCTGCTCCTTTGTGGTGGCGGTGGTGGTGCCCTCTATCGTTTGTGTGTGTGTGTGTGTGTGTGTGTGTGTGTGTGTGTGTGTGTGTGTGTGTGTGTGTGTGTGTGTGTGTGTGTGTGTGTGTGTGTGTGTGTGTGTGTGTGTGTGTGTGTGTGTGCTGTAGGCGGTAGCAAAGGTGGCAGGGGAGCTGAACAAGCCCAACCAGCAGACCTGTGTGCTGCCATGGATGGCGACTGCCGTGTTCGACGCCCACGGTATCCGCAAGGTATGAAAATGTGTGTGTGTGTGCGTGTGTGAAAAGCTTTAAGCAATGCACCGACCACACGTGGCTATTGCATTGTCAGTGTGCTGAAGTGACCCGTGAGCTTGCAGCAGCCGCCTCTTGCCCGCGTAGTCACCCATGACTTACACGCCGCCCACACGTGTACACAATCAGATTCCTGGCATTGGTCGAGCCATGCGACGAAAGTTGGAAAGCGCGAATATCACAACACTCCAACACATCCGCGCATCGCCGCACGCCGCACTGGCGGCAGTTCTCGGTGATAAAGAGGCCAGGTGAGGTGTGTCAACCGGTGTGTGTGTGTGTGTGTGTGTGTGTGTGTGTGTGTGTGTGTGTGTGTGTGTGTGTGTGTGTGTGTGTGTGTGTGTGTGTTCTGTGTGAGCGTATGCGAGAACCGTGGGGGGGGGAGGCGCGTCTGTGAATGAAATGGAGCATTTGCATCCAACCGAGCGCATGCACACTTGTGTTTGTCTGTGCACCGGTTGCTCGTACGCATCGTGTCTCACCCACCCATCAAACGCGCAAACCCCCCCCCCCACCCCCGTCACTCTGTTCCGTTGGTCAGAATCGCCACAAACCTGGCGCGAGGCATCGACACATCCCGTGCGTTGCTTCGCACGCCACATGATAGCCGTACACTGCACAGTTCACTGCACAACCACAGCACAACGCTTGCCTGCACGTTCATGCCACGGCCAACGCCACTCACGCTGCTATAATTCCTGCTGCATTCACTGTATTGCATTGCATTGTGTTGCTCTGCTCTGTTTATGCACACGAGTGACCAGGCGTGACAATGACGGGAAAGCCGAAATCGCTTTCGAACGAGGACAACATTGGCCGCTGCACAGATGTAACATCTGTTGTCGTGCGCTTGGAGCCGCTCGTTGCACTCTTGCTCACCCGTGTGGTACGTTGGTGTGTGTGTGTGTCTGTGTGTCTGTGTCCGTGTCAGTGTGTGTGTGTGTGTGTGTCTGTGTGTGTGTGTCTGTGTCCGTGTCAGTGTGTGTCTGTGTGTGTGGTCGATGCCTGTCTGTTTGTGTCTGGCTGCAACTGCTTGTGAACTGGTGCATCCATCGCCAGTTTTGATACGCTGCAATGATGGGTTGCATGTCAGTGCATGATCTTACCCCTGCTACACCTTCCTCCCACACAACACACACACACACACACACACACACACACACACACACACACACACACACACACACACACACACACACACACACACACACACACCAGGATGAGGATTTCCGGCTGTACAACCGGTACCCCTCAACCCTCCGCTTCAGCATCTGCGGCAAACGGTACGCCACCGCGAACACATGTGTGCACACCTCGCGATGTCCGGTTTTCCCCTCTCTCTCTGTCCTGTTGTGTTTACCCATTTGCACTGCTGCGTGTGTGGACCGTCATGCCTGCTTGCCTTCGTCTCCCCCTTTTCCAACATCCGCTGCAGGTACCACGATCGCCACAGCCGACAGCGTGATGTGGCACCGTCCGTGTTTCAAATGGTACGGGCTGTATCTGATGGCACTCTATTGAGATTTCTCGTCTCAAGAACACACACACACACACACACACACACACACACACCCGCCTTTCATTCACCTGCACCCCATATCTGCTTGACCCGACCTTTGTGACGACGGCGCTCACATCACCTCGCTGCTCATTTTGTTGTTGTTGTTGTTGTTGTTGTTGTTGTTGTTGTTGTTGTTGTTGTTGTTGTTGTTGTTGTTGTTGTTGTTGTTGTTGTTGTTGTTGTTGTTGTTGTTGTTGCGTGACTCAACTTCACCGCAGGAGGACAAGGCTGCGCGCGCGCAACGCGTCGTGGACATGTGTATGCAGCTACTGTGGCGCATGGTGAAGAAGCCGCTTGTAATCAGCGTCATCAACGTTGCTGCGACCAACTTTGTTCCCTACGGCAGCAGCACATCCCTGCCTGCGCTCCTGCAGCGAGCGAGCGAAAACGCGCACGTGGACCAGCACCAAGCGCAGGGGCGAGGTGGAAACTGTCGTGGCATGGAGGGTGGTGGTGATGAGAGCGGCGGTGGCTGTGGCAAAGCGAGCGATGCTCGCCGTGGTGGCGATGTTGGGATTGCCACGCACCCACAACAACAACAACAACAACAACAACAACAACAACAACAACAACAACAACAACAACAACAACAACAACAACAACAACAACAACAACAACAACAACAACAACAACAACAACAACAACAACAACAACAACAACAAAAGGAGCAGCGAGGTGCGCGAGAAGCAGACGTGAAGCGGGCAAAGGTTATGCAGGATAACACGCAGTTAGAGTCAGATACATTTACAACAGCAGCTGTTGTGGCGGCAGATCATGATGCTGACTCGTTTCAGTGCGATGTGTGCGGCGCCATCTTGCCACTCTTCTGCCTCGCCGCCCACACGCAATTCCACAGCATGGAGGCACAGGATGCCGAAAACACTGACGCGCCATAAAAGAGGGGAGCGAGGGGCACAGTGAGGAACAAGTATGCGTGCATGTGTGTTTGTTTGTGTGTCTGTACACACATGCGTGCGTGTGTGTGTGCATGCGTGTGTGCGATTGCCCCCCTCATCTCCGCCTCTGCTCTGCTGTTGAGAATAAATCGCGCTACTCGACTGCTTCGTGATTGTGCTGCTGTGTGTTGCGGGGTTAGAGGACGCACAACCAGAAATAGGCAGGCCAGGAAAGGCAAGATAGGAAGGGGAAGTAGTCCTTCACCACAACAGACAACACTCAGTGCTTCCGTGATGCTTCTGGTGTTGTTTGTGTTTGCCGAGCGAGCAGAGTCCTGCCAGTTGTTGCTGACTCATCACTCGCCCTCCCAGTGGTTGCCGATTTATTGCATAATCTTCGATACATTTTCGCTCACGCAAGACGTAACCAACACCCCATGCACGGATCCAAACTGCAGCCACACCACACCCACTTGTTCTCCTCCTTGTTGCTGTCTTGTTGCATCGGTGCTTCGTTCCTTGCTTTGCTGCTCGCCTTGCCTCCCAGCAGCAGTGACGGATCATGCGCGCGGTAGCAGCTGCGGGCTTGGCCCTGTGCACAGCCACTGTTGTCTTGATGGTGGCCGTGGACGTGCATGGCCAAACCACGCTGTTGAACCTCCTTCAAGCGCGTGAACAGGAAGTGGAACAGCTTGCAACGGCTCTTCGTGGATTGTACGACGACGCTTACTGCGGCTCGGTGCGTGCATGCGTTTGAGCGTATGCATGCGTGTGAGCTTGTACATGTGCATGTGTGTGTGTGTGCGTGCGTAAGGTTGTGCATGTGTGTGTGTGTGTGTGCGTGAGGCTGTGTGTGTGTGTGTGTATGCTTATGTGTGTACGCGTGCATGGACCCAACGGTGTGTCGTTACATTTTCTTCAACCACGACTCACTTGTCACACATGCGCTGTCCCCTTTGCCTTTTGGCCCACTTGCTATTCCCATGCAGGCAAGCTGCGCGTCGGATGTGGCGGCATGTGAGTCTGAGCTCCTAACATCAACCTGCGCCTCAACGTTTGGCGGCTGCCGCTCAAAGACGGAGAACCGCCGCCTGGACTTTTCCAGCTCGGTCATGCGCACTGCCTCCACGCCGTTTGACGATGATGTGCGTCAGGAAGCGTGCTGGACCCGCCAGCTCGACAACACCTTCATCTCCATCAACGGTGGCACGTCGGAGAACACAGATACGGCCACCAAATGGCAGTACGTCGGAACCAGCAGTGGCTTCTACCGTATTTACCCCGGCGTCCCACAGCAAGACTGCAACGCATGTACGCGGCCGAAGAAGGCGGTCTTTTTGTTTCTGTGTGTGTGTGTGTGTGTGTGTGTGTATGTGTCTGTGTGTGTGTGTGTGTCTGTGTGTGTGTGTGTGTGTCTGTGTCTGTGTGTGTGTGTGTGTGTGTGTGTGTGTGTGTGTGTGTGTGCGTTTTGTTGGTTTGCTCCTGTGTTCGTGACACGCGGAACGGATGTGATGCACAAAGCACCCACCAACACGCGCACGCACACACATACACACACACGACCCACACGCACGCACGCACGCACGCACGCACACAACACACAACACACACCACAACACACACAACCACCCACCCACAACACAAACTAACACACACACACAAACTAACACACGTCCACCCACCCACAACACAGACGACCCACGCCTGCGGCCGTGGTATGTGGCCGCGACGAGCGGGCCAAAGGACATTGTGATTGTGCTTGACCGGTCTGGATCCATGGCGACGAACAACCGCTGGGAGACAGCCATGGACGCAGCAGAAACTGTTCTCGAGACGCTCACCATTGCAGACTTTGTCGCCATCGTCGTCTTTGACACCTCCGCCAGCCAGGTTGACTTGAGTGTTTTGTCGTGCGTGTGTGTGTATGTGTG